GGTACCAATTCAATGGAAATTTGTATTAAAATAAGAGCCCCCGTCAGCACTAAAAGAGCCCCCGTGAGAAGGCTCACGGGGGCTCTTTTTTTGGGGAATAGCCCCCGTGGACAGAAAATTAATTTGAGCCCTGCACTACACAATTTCAAACTATCTTCTATTCCGTATCTCTTACTCCACTTTCATTCGTATTTATGGCATACCACCTGAATATAAAGTGTTGGTATTTTCCTTTTATGTCATGAAAGAAACAAAATGGTGGACGTTGGGTGATGAGAAAGTTCAATCTCACTTGGAAGAATTTATTTAGCTTCGTTGCCTCTGGTTAATTGATTAGATGGCGCCTTCATAGATCGCTAGATTGACAGACTGACATGCCCCAAGATTGTATCAAAGTGCAACCAGGCACGTAAAACGAGGTGTTCATTCGGAAGTACTCGTTTTTTCCCCGAAAGGTACGTTTTTCCGAAAGTTCACAATTCCGAAGGTTCATAACATTTAAAGGCACACTGTCCAACTTGTAGCTACTTGCTCCCTCTATATAGAAAACTTCCCCAATCGGTGCCTGTTGGTCCCCCATGATCCTCTTTTTCTTATGTTAAATGAGAGCTGAGTTAATGAGATAGCCACCTGTCACAGTGACCTCGCTGGCTCGCTTGGTGGTCTAATCCCTTCTGGCTAAAGTAGTAAAGCCTGCATTTAAAACGCCCGGTATTCCGATTTTGTTATTCATATCACCATTCAAAGTTTCGACCATTAACATGTTTCATGCTTTGATGGTCATATCATATGCCGTTATAGATGTCGTGTACTGTTCGGTAGTTGTTAATGAAAAGTTACAATTTGACATTTGACATTCTTACCAGTATTGCTGCATTATACTCGTTACTGATCAGCTTCTTGCATACATTTTCTATGGCTAGGCTTAAGGTTATCGCTGTTAGTACGTTGTCCTTCTTTTAATTAGTTTCTTATTCAAATTAATTCTCAATTACATCCAGTGCCTGTTTAATGAATGACGAACCCTCAGAGTACTTTTTTTCATTAGAGATGTAATAAGGTAGACCTTGGAGTCAACAAAGGAGCAAACGGAGAGTGTGTAATAGGGAGAGGGAGAGTAATAGGGAGAGGGAGAGAGAGCGAGGAGGAGAGAGAGGAGGAGGAGAGAGAGAGAGAGAGGAGAGAGAGAAAGAGATAGAGAGAAAAAGAGAGAGAGAGAAAAAAGAGAGAGAGAGAGAGAGAGAGAGAGAGAGAGAGAGTCACAGGTAGATATATAAATATAAATATTTTTTAAACGTTATGTATGAATATACGTATAGGAAGAGAGAGACCTTGGAGTCAGCAAAGAAGTAGACAGAGAGTGTGGGATAGAGAAAGAGAGACTACAGACGAACAACATGTTGGATTGAGAGAGATACAAAGTGGTGACATATTAAGAGAGAGGGAGAGAGAGAAATATTGAGAAAATAAACAACCTCTGTTACGTGAGATGATGAACAGATATATGTACATTTAAGGAATATAATGATTTACAAACGTAAATTCAACGTGAAAATGCAAGGTTTTAAGAAAAGGAATGATTAATAACAAGCTAGCATACAAATCTACCTATAAATCTTGAACGTGGTGGACACCGGACTCTCCCCACGCACAGATGGCTCCTCAGTTAAACGATCTATGCGCACGTTCCTATGGCGCCAAAATAAATACGACACCCTCTCAGTCACGTGATCAAACCGCCTTCTTGCTTAAGATTACCATGTCCTCATATAGATTTAGCGCTGTTTGCACATGATTAGTTAAAGGAGTAGAGATTGATGGTTTTCGGTATAGATCGATTTTTAATATTGCGTGGAGATTCTGTTTTGCGAATTGTGTCAGAAAAATAAAACTGATTTCGTTTTAACTCTTCTTTTGTATTGTCTGTATTGTATTGTATAAGTGAAAATTGAACCCCATTTACAGACATATAAATGATTTTTGAATTATATCATCTTTCTATGTGTCAAGAATAAAAGTGACAGTAAATACCACGTGGAATTTGAAACTTTGTGCAACTGGCTTTCAACGGCTGAGTGTTAAGCCTCGCTGAGATATAGTGAAGCGGTAAACCACGGCGTTTTCTGATGACGTGAAGTGTAAAACGGTTTATATTTCTGTATCTCATAAAACAGAGCTAAGTGAACAGGCGTAGTACCTATGTGAGCGGGGTTGCTATTCATTAACACGTAAAGTAACCACGGCGGTTGTTTTGTAACTGCTTACCGCGTAATGTCTGAACGGGCATGTACTCATTATTGGTTTGTAACTTGATCAACGCTGTTTTTATTATTTTCAGGAAATATAAGGCGAGGAGAGCGTGATACTGTCTCTCTTGGTATCCTTTACCATCTTCCCGCCTCCTCCTCATCTTACTTTCCTCGTGATTGAATTAGAACAAAACATCAGCCTTGGTTTCCATGGTGATGCTTTACCGACGCGCGAATTATCAGAAGAAACCCCACGACAGCAGACGGTATACAGCTAGGCAGGGGAGGAGCAGAAGAGAGAAAAACAAAATCTGACGGCAGTGTTACGATCTCATTTCGTATTACTTGTTGATTATTTAGTAAACATATTGAAGGACAAGTCCTGTCCTAAAATTGATATCAAGGAGAGCTAAAAATAATATTCGCCATAGACATGCGCATGAGGCTTCACACTTTCAATTAATCGTCTCAGATTTGTTACAGTCACTATTTTAGCACGCGTGGTGGCTTGTTATTTGTACAGAGACAGCATGCTTTGGCCCTAAGTGTATTAAACCTTGGCAAGTATTTGCTGTTCTCTCCTCTCTGCTCCGGTGTAGGCATGACTTTAAACCGTGTTTTATATTCATTCATTCAAGGGCTGGGAACATTTAAGAAATATGATTTCCACGGGGGTCCCTCATGCATCTTATTTCCAATTTAGCGTTTGATCGTCGCACTGCATATAAATGAAAACGACTATGATTCTAGCGTTCAAGAGAGGTAGAGCCGACGAAATATTGAAGTGCCTTAAGCACCTTGCGTGGCAGATTATGCGTTATAGAATATCCAATATGAATATTATCATCTCATGCGGAATACGAGATATAAATGTCATGGAACCACCCCCGGTGAATTAACATGAAATGTGGCGTCATCGAGGACTACTGCACAACCTCACATCCACACATATCCAATATTCCTTCCCCAAGTGATCTATTCTTCAGATCAAAAGAGCATGGCTTAAGCTTGCTCCAATTACAACGCAGTCAAGTTTGGTTTTAGAATGGGGTTACTTGCACTTTTCCACTGCTCTACAAGAAATTAATTGCATTCGGAAACAGAAGGAACGATTTTTTGTCTTCTTCCATGAGCATGAACAAGGAGGGATTGACTGTTTTAAAACGAGTGGGTGCACGTGCTCCACAGAAAATAGATTTATGGATGGAATCCTTTTCCATTTCATCATAAATATTACGTCAGAGATAGCGAAGAAACAAAGTGGATTGAAATCTTTAAGTGAAGGCATGCTCAAGAATGTTCAACCATTAGCTATAGATATTAGATGGGTGGAAAGGAAGAGCACTTCCCCCTTAGACAACTTTCGTTAAACTAAGGATGAAATAGAAAGGAAAATGCTGGAAAATATTGGTATTACGAATAGAAAGGTTATGCTAGATAAATAATAGAAGGCAATAAAACAAACGTAGAAATTCAGCTAAGAAATGTGTATTGTGTCTTTAAGCGTGAGCGTAAGAGAGAGTAAGAGAGAGAAAGAGAGAAAGAGAGAGAGAAAGAGAGAGAAAGAGAGAAAGAGAGAAAGAGAGAGAGAGAGGGAGAGAGAGAGAGAGAGAGAGGGAGAGAACTGAATCAGAATCATATTCCCCCTAGGGACAGAGCGAACCCAATCTCGTGTTTCTCGGCCATTATCTATGTTTGCATTGGAATACAATCGTGATGCAAAGAGCCAACACATTCACCGACCAACGACCGCAGTTAGATGGTAATGGACTGTAGTCAGTGAAACACCTTTCACCCAAAATATGCTCTCTTCTTCCGTCCTTTTGACCCGTTGACTACAGAATCATCTACGCCCCGTAGACTTAATACAGGGACAACCCAGTTCCAGTAGACAGTGGGATGATTAACTGTTGTCTGCCACACATTTAGAAAAGGTGTCTTTCTCGAACCTCTAATTTCATGTGTTAATATACAACCCGTCCAGAACGAAGGTTTCCTGTTTGCCAAATTAGCGCAAGTGACAAAGACAATAGATTTCACTTTTCACGTTTCTCTCGATGATTGTAAACCATTTTTGTTGTATTAGTAACATGCAATATATTGTAAAGTGTTTCAAGAAATAGATTAAAGAGCATTTCATTACATTGATATAGCAATCATGTTGGGATTACTGATAATATCGTCGTCATGTTCGCATATACAATAGGTGACGCACAAGACTACTAAAACTGTCTTAGGTTGGTTTTCTGAAAGTCTTTTCGAGTGTTTGTTTTTATATGAATGCTCTTATCGTAATTATTATTTAGCCAAATTTAGTAACATGCATATCCTCGATTCTGTTCCACCACCTGAGCAGAATCCTCCACAACCAGCCAAGCCCATCCATACTCATCAAAGGAATAAACCTGAAGTGGCCGGAGTGGAAATGCCTGAATCAGATGCGGGCGAGAATGGGGCTAGATGTAAAACCCCGAAGTAGCCCCGATGTAAGGCCAACATAGCAAGATGGGGCTATTCCCATGAAGAAGATACTCTCTGCGACTGCAGAGAGACTCAGACGATGGACCACATCAGTGCGGCGGAACGGGTTGTACAGATGAAGACCTGACCCTTGTCAATGAGACGGCCATCGCAGCCATCGGGTGGTGGAAGAACTTAATTGAATTAATGAACTTTACATTGATCTTGATCTAAGTAGACACGAACGAGCCAAATTTAAGATCATTCTGTTTGGGATGATTCCTCTCTTACCTTGTCCTGCTGGGCGTGGCTGCGACACAACGTTTGGGGCTCGGCCAGGATCATTCTTCAGCCGGTAGACCGACAGGTATGGAGCGCCACCACAGATCTGACTTTTATTTCCAGAACATTCCAGATTGCATAAGGAGTCGTTGTTCATCTTCTCACTTTCCAGATTTGATCCGCAGTAACATTCGCTGTAGAATTGAAGACCCGCATATAGAAAATTTCTGAAAAGATATAAAACGATACAAGGTTTAATTATATTTACGGACTGTTGTTGATTCTTTATGGATGCTGAAAAGTGGCAATAGCTGACTTTGTAACTAGTATCTGAAGTATTTGGCGTAATTTGTGCCTGGGACAAGAACTGCAAACTGAATCAACTTGACCCTGGGGTTTCACATTCTGGTATAACTGATTGGAGATGTGTAGGTGGACCACTATATACATCAGGGTTCCCCTACTCTACCAAGGAATTACTAGCTAGTAACTCCTTGATTAGAGGCTTAACGTACAAAGGTGGTGGCTGTCCTCTACACGGGGCCTCCATTATGCGTCCTATCCAAGGGACGGAGTGTTTCCAATTTAACCTAGCCTGCGTCTATGAAACAAGGAAGGGGCAATAAGACACAACGCAGGCTTCAGTCATCCGCCTGGGTTGGATTCGAACCCTTGATCTTTGGTTTGACAGGCAGACGCTTTACCGACTAAGCCAACTTGCACTTCAATCTGTGTTAGGAAAAAGCCAACAACCAACACAGAGACCTACACGTAAAACCTACATATAACTCTTTATAACCCTTTACTTGCTTTGCTCTACCGATAGAACAAAGGATTGCCACAGTTGACTTTTTTCACAAACACAGCATCCATCTATACACGATTACTCCAATTGAATGTGGCTGTGTGGGAGTTTACATCCACATCGAGTAAACAAATTAACGGGAATTTTCCAGGTAATGTTCATCTTGACTCCGCTGTTCATTGACTTCGTTGATCTTTTTTTCTCTGTGACATGATGTATTATTGTGAACGATTAAAGTACTAAACATAATTGGAACGAAAAAGTAGCCCAAAACGTAGGGATACGGTATTCCAAGGTCTTATTGTACTTTTTTCGTCTTTATTACCTTTTTGGAAATGAATATCATAAAATGAATATAATCTATATCCTTTGGCTTAACGACTCTCTGTTTCACGAGTGGATGCAGACTCGAAGTCTTGAATTTATTCACGCCGGTTTCAAGTATGCTTGGGCGATCGTTAATTAATTATTCATTCGATCGTGCCAGCTTAAGCTCGTCATGGCCTTTCTATCACATGCACCCCTCTAACTTATTTATTGCCTATATCTGTAGGGATTCGTATGCCACGACAGACTCTTACATCTTTCATTTATCTATTACTGTCCCCTCCAAGCGCTAGTAAAAACAAACAGGCGAATTATTTATAAGATGCTGTCTCGTACAAGGAGGGACAAGGACGGAGACAAACGAGATGAAAGCAGGAAAGAGAGATAAAAATATGAATACAAGAATAGTGCTTTTAGGCAGTAGCTGTTCTAAAGGAGATCTTGGGGCTCAGCACCCACCAAAAAAATCTTCCAATTCACCACTCCCCCTAAAAAATGATCACAAATGAATGTAAGCAAGGTATATGTAGAACAGAATTCGAGGATCCCCAGCACGACAAAGCCCCCCCCCCCCCCCCCCCCCCCGAGGGGGAAAAAAAAGCTCCTATAACCACGCCTGCTACAAAGTACAAGGGCTTGAAATGATGAGAAAAGGTAAAGAAGGAGAGGAGGAGGAAGCGAGAAGAAGCGTAGTGTAAACAGCGCACAGTCTCAAGAAATGTTTTGTCTCTGCACTCTTCACGGCAGCCCACCGTGCAGACGACTCCTTAACCTGCTACGTCATGGAATCCCGCAGGCTTTTTGGCGGGTAAACTCGTCCCGTGAATATATAGATCTAGGGAAATCAAGAGGTGACAAGGTATGTGGAGATCACATCGACTTGTTCAGAAACACGTCTGGGATTTATCTCCTATTACGAAATGCGTGTACGTATACAGCCTGCACCAGCAATACTGCATTGTTTGATGATTTAAATGAAGCCTCAAGTTTGCTCTAGATTCCACAAAACCTGACAAAATACCAGTTTCCAATTTGGTATCTGTGTATGTATGTAGGCTCACGTTGAAAAACGTCAACCTTCTTAAAAATATTCCAGGATAAAGTTTTGTGTGTGTGGGGAGACGGGTGGGTGCTCATGTTATTAATGCTATTATTATTGCAAATATGAAGTGAAAACAAAATGAGTACGTAAGCTCAAAGAAGATTGGTAAAAAACAAAACACACACAATCAGTGAGTAAACACGGAGCAGTTCGGGATAGAAATGATATGCATGAGCAGGAATCGAACGGTAAACCGAATTAATGAAATCTGAATCATCTCAAAATGTATTCGGGAACTATATCTGAAATATGAAGAGCGCAAAATAATACATCAAGTACCAATTCAGTAAAGATGATTACTTCGATAAGTGAACACATCAGAGATTAATGGATATCATTAATATGAAACGGTAAAGCCTTTCTTTTTTGCGATGGGAAGCAGCTTCGTATGTCAATTTTAAATCTACTCACTCTTCGCATGCATTGTTAAGCTCTTCGATGAAACCTGGTCATCATATGCGATGGACTGTAAGATAGAGTCAGACAGTACTTTAGTGTGTTTTGATGAGGTTCATTCATATTTTATACATCCTTATTTTTCAAATCAGTCCGCTGATCACCCATGGGAGTCTCTCGCCCGATCACGGGGTCGTAACCACTGCAGCGACCGATATGACACGTCCAGGAGCTGTTCAGACTGGCTCTCTCAATACACACCTTCATACCTATTCCATAGTCGACAACGGGTTCCCAACCAGTTCATCGACCAACATGACACGTCCAGGAGCCGTTCAATTCTTTCTCTCGACGGTGCCGAATGCACTAAGGAGCTATTCACACTAGTTGTCTCAACGTTATCGAATGTAATGAGGAGGCGTTCATACTGATTGTCAATAAACATGTCGAAGGCAGGTAGAAGTCGTTCACACTGATTCTCTCAACAAACAACGTCATACCTATTTTATTGCCGATCACGGGTTCGTAATTACTACGACACACCTAAATCCCATCGCCATCACGCATTATCTGACTGAGACCACATTTTATAGAAACTACGTATAATGTAGCATTGAACATAAAAATATGAATTGGCAAATTTTCTGGATTGATGTTCCAAACACTTAATACAATATAGGTATAGAAAGAAAAAAAATGTTACGGGGTACGTTGGCTTTCCAGTCTGAGAAAATGCCCGGTCAGCTTCGAATCCTGTTTACGTCAGACCAGTCGCCATTTTGAGACTGATTTGGCGTTTTTTTTTTCTTCGTACTAGAGTATCAATATTACTTAGCAATTGGCCACTTTCGTTTATGTAAACAAATTTATAATATAGTCCCTCGAAACGGATTATTTCATTAATCTGTTAAGGAATAATTTTATTTCAATAGTCAGAGTGCAAATTGCATATATTGTGTGTTGCTAGGTAGGACAAGCCGTAATGTTTGTCCTACCTAACAACTAGCAATTTAAATTCTGACTATTGAGATACATTTATACAACAATTCGTATCGATGCACTCCACAAAGGTATATGCATACATTTAGTTACATGACGAAAATGGCCTATTTCGAGTAAACATACAATGTCAATATTTGGAAAAAGTACAAATTGTAATTATGTTGTATCATTTTGCAATCATTCATATGCATACGCATAACGTGCTGTGGGCTTAACACGCTCATATCACCCCACAATGCTCAATGATCATTCCAATCTTTTTTCAATTCCTACTTCAAGCTAGCTTGCAGAAATTGCAAAAATTCAGTATTAAATTATCGATTTTCAAACATTTTTTATATTAATTCTGCAATAACCCGAGCTTTGGTTTGTGGGCGAGGAAACATAAAACCAAGGCTACTTTAAAATTAATGAAAAAAATGAACTAAGTTCGTGATCTTACAGGAAATTTGTTGGGTTCTCCGAATATGAGCTCGGCTCTCCGGATGAAAAATTCACGAGTCATGAAATATTTAATTTGGAGCTATGCATGTATTAAACTCGGTATTGAATATCAATCTAAACGTAATTCTACACAGTTATTAATAGCAGTAGAATGTGCAAGGCCACACGAATGCCCTGTTATTTCGTTCCCAATGTTTGCTTGAAGTGTAACCTTTTATGAAGTTTATTTTTAATAGGACAAATTTTAATACAAAGTATAATATATTATTACCATTGTAGACTATATTTCCAGTGCCATTGTTGTGATATTACATATTAGGCGGAGTGAATATATCATGTTGATTTTATAAAATAAATAATCCAAACATACACTACAAATATGTATTAGGATGCATATCTTCGAGGGACAATAAAACAAAGAAATATATCCTGCTTTCGAACCGCCCCCCCCCCCCCACATACACACATGCATACACATCATCGGCATTAATGAAGATTAAATTACTTGACATAATCTTTAAAAAACAGATTTTTCTAATGAAGATATAAAACCTTTGAAACACTTTAGATATGTGGAATATTTTGATAGATATGATATTCAAAATAACCCGTTCGCGGTTGTCTCAGTCACACCATATGGAAATTCCTCTGTTAGAGATTTGCTCCTACGAAGGTGCGCCATTGCATAACTTACAAATCGACACAGAACTACCAAATTATAATGAATAAAGAACAAAAGAATATTAAAATGAATGGAGGCTACTCTCATGAAAGCTATGAAGACTTGTTTCACGAATTCATATATCTTCTTTCAAGAAAAACAATATTATTGCATTAAATACAAGCGTTCTCCGTCAATAGTCCGTCATGATAACAGACTTCACCATGAAACAGAAGCGAGGTATAACTCTATAGAACAGAAGGCAAGAGAAATAGGCCTCGAGATATATTAAAACGAGAAACATGGACAATATTGTATTATCGATCCGTCTTGAATCCTTGACAGGCATCACGTAAGTATCGCGATCGCGATGATCGTAACAAGTACGGATTAATAATAATGATCGATATTTAGTAGGCTGGACCAATATGCGAGGGAAGACATGTCTTAAATAAACAAGCGCTCCGGTTTTTACTATCTTACTGTTTCC